TTTTACTTTAATTTTTATTTCCCTGTAAAACAGACCAAAGCAGATGTTGACAGTGATTCCTTGCCAGCAGCCATTCGGAACTCCGAGGAGCGTCTCTCCAAGGGTGACATCTACCTTCTGGAGAATGGGCTGAACATCTTTGTGTGGGTGGGAGTCAACGTGCAGCAAGGCCTGATCCAGAACCTCTTTGGAGTGTCATCCTTCAGTCAAATTAGCAATGCCTTGGTGAGCTGGATGGCAGTGTGGGAGCTAGAGTGTGGTAGTCACCCAAAACTTAAAACGGCAAGAAAGCCAGTAGAAAAAATAGCATTTCATTCTTCATAATAGAAATGAGAGAAGCACAGATGTGTGAAACTAGTGGAAATGTTGATAGTCTGGGCATGTCAGGCATGCTTTTGCCTAGTCATATAAAATTAACTGTGAGGAGAACATTTGATATCTCAATTGAAAAAATAATTGACCTCTAATTCTGATTTCATGTTATAGTCTCTTTTAAGTAGTTAAAGTCAAAGAGATTGTGTGCTAATGGGGGTAGATATTTCTCTACCCTTTTACAGTATGCCAAAATTGCTGACTTTTGTTTAACATTGCTCTACTTCCCAAGACTAATGGGGATTGGATATCTTTCATTCCAGAGTACTCTGCCAGTCTTGGAAAACCCCTTTTCAAAGAAAGTTCGATCTATTGTTGATATGCTTCAAGGGCAGAGATCCCGCTACATGAAGGTAAAAATGTGCCCCATTTACTGCTTTAAATCTCCTTCCCTCTTGGTAGAGTCAGGTGATGCCTGGTAATGCTGCAGTCCTGAATTTATTCTTCCCAGTCTCATAAATGTTATTCAAAGTTTTCAAGAATCTGAAAACAAATTTCACTAGTTTTGGAGTTTTGTGCTTACCATAATTCTAAAACTTCCTTTTTTCAGACCTATTACAATACACTACTATGTGAACTACATATATGGTATTTTCCTTCTGTTTAGAAAGGATTGAGGCTTAACCCAGCTGAGTTACAGAAGTCAAAGCACATAAGCCGTGTATGCTGTCATTCTGGCTGGCTATTTTTGGAGTTTTGAGCATTTAGCTTTTTGCTCTATTTTCCCCATGAAGATTAATTGTAATAGCTACTCACTGTTGGTTTTTTTCTTGTTTTGTTTGGTTTCTTGTAGTTGATAATTGTGAAGCAAGAAGATAAGCTGGAAATGCTGTTCAAACACTTTCTAGTGGAGGACAAGAGCCTGAGTGGGGGGGCTTCATATGTGGACTTCCTGTGTCACATGCACAAGGAGATTCGGCAGCTACTGAGCTAGAGGAGTGAGTGGTGCTAGAACTCAGCAGTGACATTTCAGTCTCCACTAATGACCTGATCAGAAGGCCCAGCGCCCTCAAAAAGGACAACATAGAAATCTGTACAATTCCATAATTTTTAATACACATTGCATTAGCAGAAATCCTTTCAACCTTTCCCAATCCCATAAAAGAGATGAAATATTTTCCTGGTGAGGGCTAAAAAAAAAAAGGCCTTTGATACCAGGTCTTTTATTTACATCTAAATTGTTTCCTGTGCTTGGCAGGAGTTCACCCCCCACCCCACCCCATGCTCGCTAATCCTGTTGTAATGAATGTAGGGTTTTTTTCAGTTCACTGTACATGATTCAACATTGGGTGAAAAAGCGATAACTGTTCAAAACTTCTGGTAGCTGCTGTGCATTTGTGTGGGTGTGTGTGCATGCTCCAGGTGTGAAGAGGATGCACAGGTGGGGAGGGCGAGAGGCAGGTCAGGTGATGGGAGCTGGAGCAGCCAAACATTTCATGTCTCCTTTAAAGAGGGAAGCACGATCTGTCAGAGCACAGATGTATCATGTGGCTGTCCAAACCAGAAAGCCATGAAACATGAAATGAGTGGTAAGGCAGGAGGCAGCAGGGCAAACTTCTCTCCACAATCTTCCCCATACTATGAGTTGGTGTGCAGAACTGTAATGGAGTAATCAGTAGTTAAGTGGGCAAAAATCAACAGCTTCTGAACAGTGTAGGGGTAGAGACTGTACTTCCTGTTGACCTGTGTGGTGACTCCTGTCCTTCTCATTGCACGGCTCTGTATTGTCCTCCTCAATCCATGTTCCATGAGCTCTCCTGCAGAGTTTACCTGTCTGTCAGATGGTGGTGGGAACAAAAGCTTCTTAACCTTAAGCAGAAAATACTTCTAACAAGGTGACGAGGGACTGCGTAGGAACTGAATGATAAGGAAGAGGCCATTTTCAACCATATTTTTTGTGAATCATAGCCAACAAGCAGGAATTTTATTTATTCTGACATGAATTAGATTGCTTTGTACCCTGGAACACAAGGAAGGGGATACAAAACCTTAAGATTTAGACTGTATTGTAATAGGTATTGCAAGTACCTGATTTTGGCTATTAACAGCACCTGGGCCATAGCAAAGATTTTCATTACTGGATGTTTATACCCTCTACATTCTGTCTACTGATCAGCTTGCACAAAACCTTTTATAAGCTTGTTTGTTAAACTAAAATACCTCAGACAGATTAATCCATCCACTTTGGCTGCTCTGCTGCTCCATTTTGCAAGGGTGGATGAGAAGACTCCTGTGAAGAGGGAGCTAGTGTAATCAAATTCAGAATTCTAAGGGCTTTGTTTATTCACTTTTGAAAGGGGGCTTGTACATTTTAACTTGAACACTTAACAGGTGTTCTTCCAGTACCCAGGAGTTTAAGCTACCAATAGCACTAAAAGTGAAAGGAAGAATGTGGATGGATTAGAGAACATGTTATCTGGGCTTGATATTTCATAGGAAAGTCCTTGTTAAGATCAGAAAAATATCTGGCTGTGGTTTTAGTTCCATATCCTGTAGCATGTATATAAATCCATTTTTCTTCTAATGCTGCTAGTTTGTCTTCCCTCCCATCACTACACAGAAAGGGAAACATGAAAATTGTAATGTAGAAACTCTTTCAAGAAGTAGTTGACAGAACTTTCAGCGGTTTTGTATGAATGTGGCTGTCTTTTTACTCCACGTACTGCCTCCAACCAAAAAATCTAGAGGATTTTTAATCAGAGGGGGAAAAAAAGAACTTCCCAGGAATATAATGCACAGCAACCACAGACTTCCACAAATACTAATTTCTAGTATTAATATTGGGGGGTGTGGGGGTGGAAATGAAATCATGAATGAACCTTTCATTTTCTTCACTTGTTTTTCCAATGCATCTTTTAATTTGTAAAGAAATAAAAATATATTAAGATGTATTTTATGTCATTGTTAGTAAATAAACACTGCTTATTTTTCCAAACCCTGTATTTTGCAGGAGGGGGGAAATGGGAAGGGCTGAAGTCTAGCTCATTGATCCTTTACAGTCCAGTCTTCTACTAACCAAGTTCAGTCTTTTTTTGTCATTGTTGTTATTCGCACTGAACGATAAGAAATTCAACAAGAGTCAACAGACAAAAGGTACTGTTTAATCTCAGTGTTCCTTTATTTAGGTGATTGGTTTTTGACTTTCTGCCCTGTCTGAACTTCCATATCACAAAGAAATTCCCTTTTTTGCTGACGCAGCTTGAGTCATTGACTGTGTGGGGGGTTTTGGTCTGCTTAGGCAAATACTGCCCGTACCTTGTGCCAATGTCAATTCAATGACTTCAGCAGTCTTAAAAGAGCTCATATTTCAGAGTTAAGGGTACCTGGGTGAATTGGTTGGAGAGGTTTTTTTGGTTAGTGGTTTTTTGGGGGGGTTGGGCTGTAGGGTTTTTTGCTGGGAGTGTTGCTAATTGCAAAAATAAAATTCAGAGTGAACTGGCAGTGTTATCTTGACTGTACCTGTGAATATTGCTGTTGTACAGTTTGCTGATAGCCTTATAACAAATCTGTATGAAAGCACAAGACAATCATTGCTAAATATCCAATAATGCTAAATTTGCTGTCAAGTATTTTTGAGATTCCTCTCAAATAGAATGTACATTATGTCCAGAATCTGCCACAGAACTGGTGTGATAATGATGGGCCTTGTGTATCTTGTACATTAATCATGTGGAGTAAATTGTGCAGCACGTTCTGATGCTTTGGAAATTGCCGTGCAGAGCCCATGTCTGTTACCTTCTCTCCGAGCCCAGGGGGAGGACGCTGTGGTGCTGTTGGAGCAGGCCCAAGCAGTGTCTACACCTAACTTTCCAAAGGAAAGGAAAACTACTCCCTCTTTAACTTGTTTCTAACACAGCTGAAAATACTTCTTTACCTTGTGTCCATACTAACTAATGTCCTGTATTATAACTGATAATTCATAAATATCATATTGTCTCTTAAGAAGTTAATGTGAAGCTTTTAGCAATTGTGTAAATGAGCAACTGAATGGTAATTTTAGAATATGGCTGTTGGATTTACATAGAGTAGCCAAAACCACTTTCCCATTTACAGAATATTTTAATACTGTAGGAATTATTCAAGGTTTGTATAGAAAAGCAGCTTTCAAGGGAGCTTTAAAATTACCCGTAGATACTTAAAAAAAACCCAAAAAACAAAACACAACCAACAACCAAAAAACTGAACAGAAGAGTTCTGTTAGTAAAAGGTGTTTTCTGTTCTCCCCCTTTATGGTCTCCAACAGGAGCTGAGCTGGGGGCTCTTTCTTGTAACAGCTGACCGCTTGCTTGGTCCAGGAGCCCTCTCTGCAGGTGCGGTCAGTCGCGGCATGCTGAGCCTTCGGGAGCAGCTCGGCTCCATCGCTGTCAGCTGCAGGTACTGCGGGCGCCGCTGTTAGCGCGGACGGATGCAGGGGCGGTAGAGGCAGCGAGGCTTACAGCAGCTTCAGCCATCGTACAGTGGGGTTGGGAGGGGGCTGCGAATGGGTCGCCTCGTCGGGCCGCTGCAGCGAGGCTGCCGCCAGAGCAGGGGTACGCGTCGCTGCCCCTCCGAGCCGCTTCGAAGGCGCATTGACAGTGCGAGCTGAGAGGGGCGGGGAAAGCGGTGCTGCTCCCGTCCGGCCCCGGCCCGGCCCCGTGACACGGCCCGGGCATGGGGGGCGCCGGGCCGGGGTGGGGGCCTGCGGGCCTGTGGGTGACGCTGGCGCTGGCCTGGAGCGCAGGAGTGGTTCTGGCCGCGGAGGAGCCGGCCGAGCCGTGCGGGGCGGACGTGTGGGCGCAGGACGCCGTCCCGCCGGGCGCGGCCTTCGTCGCCGCCGCGTCGTACCGTGGGCCCGGCAACAACGACACGCGGAGCAACAAGGCGCTGCCCATCCTGCTGTGGTGGAGCGGGAGCCTCTTCCCGCACTTTCCCGGCGACACGGAGCGCATCGACTGCCCCCGCGGCTCCTGCCTCGTCACCCGGAGCCGGCGGGTGGCCCGGCACCGCCGCACCAAGGCGCTCATCTTCTACGGCACCGACTTCAGAGCGTACGAGGCGCCGCTGCCCCGCCTGCCCCACCAGACCTGGGCGCTCTTCCACGAGGAGTCCCCCATGAACAACTACGTGCTCTCGCACTCGCCCGGCATCCGGCTCTTCAACTACACGGCCACCTTCCGCCGGGAGTCCGACTACCCGCTCACGCTGCAGTGGCTGCCCGGCACCGCGTACCTGCGGGCCCCGGCCGTGCCCCTGGCCGAGAAGGACGCGTGGCGGCGGAAGGGCTACGGCCCGGTGCTGTACATGCAGTCCCACTGCGACGTGCCCTCGGACAGGGACCGCTACGTGCGGGAGCTCATGAAGTACATCCAGGTACGTGGGCTGAGTGCATGGGAGCTGGGAACGCCTGGCTGCTCCCCTCTACCGCCTCGTTTTAATGGGGTTTGTTTGTCCTTGTTTTTAGCCAAGACACGAATCATAACGGGATGCATGCTGACTACAAGCTGGACAGAAAAACTAGTTGTATTCCTTCCCAAAGCGTGATCTAGACTACACCGCATGTCAGTAGGTAGGCCTGATGCAGATGTTAGATGTGGAATTGGCCGCACTCGGGATCAGTCACAAGCTGGGCAAAGCCTGAATAAGTTCGGTCTTGTGGATCAAGTGCTAGAAGTTACTGACATCTCTTTGACGTTAGGATAGAGGAAGGCTGTCCCTTTACAAGGCTCGCTCTCGTTTGAAAGTACAGGAGTGAAGTTAAAAGGCAGGTTGCTCTGTTGTGAGAATCTGCTCCTTACCTGTGTTGTGGTAGGAGCGTGTTGTTTCTATGATGGCTTGTACTGCTATGGTACAGCTGATGGTGATTAGCTTCATAAAGTAAAATAATGTTTCTTCCAAGCAGGAAAAAAGCATACTGCATTTTTTTCTCTTAAAAAGTTTAAAGGATATTAGATTGATTAAAAAAAAAAATCTGTTTTTAGACTTTGCCAGAGTTTTTTTTCTCGTGGTTTCTGTTGTTTCTATTGGTCATGATTCAGTTATTGTGTAAGGTCGTCATGTACTGAGTAGTGAAGCAAAGGCAAAAGAAATTTTTTAAAATTACGGTCTTCTCAAAGTATGGTGCGGGTTCCAGCTCAAGCATGCTGTCTTGTATTTTTAGACAGTATTCTTTTAGCTCCCTGTATCAATTTTTCTCAGTCTAACAAATGGAAAAATTCTATCAGCTTGCTGAGACTGGCTGGAACTCTGTGTAATAACTGTTTGGAAAAGCACTATATGTCTTAAGTAGAAAGAGAATGTTTAAATTGACATATGAGTCAAATGCGCTTCTGTACTTGTCAGTTCCTGATGTATCCAGTAATAAATACATTTTTGGGTGGCATCTACATGCTCCCCTTGTCCCTCAGTCTGTAGTGTGGCTTATGTTGCTTTTGAAACTCAGCACTTGGTTTTCTCTAAACCTTGTAGAACTTGGACTCTAGGAATAGTCTCAAGGGAAAGACCTTGGAGTGAAACGAAGCTAAATTAACGTACCTATGAGCTGATCCAAGTTAGGAATTTTACAAGAACTACAAGGTCTGAAAACAAGTTCCAGGGGAACAAATCACTTTGTAAAGATGCTGTTTGTTATTTTAGGTTGACTCCTATGGTAAATGCCTGCATAACCGTGAGCTCCCCAGTGAGCGACTGAGAGACACTTCTACAGCCACTACAGAAGATTCTGAATTTATGACTTTTATTGCCAGGTACAAGTTCCATCTGGCCTTGGAGAATGCCATATGTGACGACTACATGACAGAGAAGCTGTGGCGTCCCATGCACCTGGGTGCTGTCCCAGTGTACCGAGGCTCCCCAGCTGTGCGGGACTGGATGCCAAACAACCTCTCCATCATTCTTATAGATGATTTTGACAGCCCCCAAGAGCTGGCAAAGTATCTTAATTTCCTGGACAAGAATGGAGAGGAATATTTGAAGTATCTAGAGTATAAAAACACCGGTGGAATCAAAAACCAGTTCTTGCTGGAGAGCTTAGAGAAGCGGGAGTGGGGTGTGAATGACATGACTCTGCCCAATTACCTGAATGGCTTCGAGTGTTTCATCTGTGACAAAGAGAACACCCGAGTCAAAGAGGAGCAGGAGCACAAGAAGTCTCATGGAAAAATTCCAGCTCCCAGACCTCATATAGCTCAGTTCAAGCACATGGGATGTCCTATGCCAACCCCCGGGTTTGGAAGTGTTGAAGACCTCTCTGGTGGAGACAGGTAATGTGCTAGTATTATGCTTTTTGAAGGGAAAACAGCTTCGAGTAAAAGGAGCTGTAACTTTAATAACACTTTGTACTTAAGGGAGTTCTTGTTACTTCTCCAGTTACATTTTGTAGTACGTCTTGTGGGTGGTGTAGGGGGTCCTGCTAATACTGTGTAGCACTGAGGCTGAACAAGAGGCTTGGACAGTGGTGCTAGCAGTTAAAGTGGAGTGTGACACTCAGAATATTCTGTTAAAATGCTCTGTTACCTCAGGCAGTGGGGTTATTCTTTGTCTATCTTAGCCTCTTTGCTTGAGGGAGGGATGTTTTTCAGTACAGTGATGGTAAAGCTTGGCAGTCCTCAGGCAAAAGCAGCTCTGTGCCTCCTTACAAAGTACTGCATTAAGAATGAGGTTGCCAATGTTCACTCCAGACCTGGTTGACTCCTGTAGACTTCAGAGCAGAAATTAGGCTCACCCAGAATACAAGACTTAATGCTGTTTTGCATGACAAAACTCTGGCTGTGTTCAAGGATGCCATCCCACTTATTTAGGAGAAGGACTGTGCAGGAGAGAAAATAGACTGAGCAGCTTCTTGTCCCTTGTTTTCTGTTGGTTGACTGATCTACTGGAGCTTCTTTATGGTAATGCCTTTTCTCAGTCTCGGTAGCAAAATGGCTTTTTTCTTTGTAGTGTGCTATGCAGCACCCTACTCCATAGAGCTGATAGGAGGTCAACCTCCACAGGTTTTCTGTTTGAGCATCAGGTGGCAGTAGAGAAGTACCTGTGAAGGCACACACACAGAGTTGCTGCCAGTGCCACGTGCAGGCTCAGGTGCTTCCATCACTCTTCACAGAAGTCATCAGCAGGGAGTTTTGAACAGCTGGTCCGTAATTCAAGCTACAGTTTCATCCCAGGGAAGTTTCTGTGTCTCACTGTTACCCTCCCCATCTTCAGGCATGAGATGTGTCTGGAAAAATTGTTCAGGGAAGCTTTTACATTCACTGCTATTTACTTTATAAAGATGTGTCCATCGTTTCTAAGGCATGATTGTGGGCATCTCCTGTGAAATACAGTAGTTTCTATCTGATAAGCATCTAAGCTTTACCTATTTTTATTTGCAAAATGGAACATGATTACTTATAATTCTAACGTGTAACAATAGCATAAAATTGCCATCAAATCGCATCTAAGCTTTACCTATTTTTATTTGCAAAATGGAACATGATTACTTATAATTCTAACTGGTGTAGCAATAGCATAAAATTGCCATCAAAACATTATTAGCTAAGCATGCCATTATTTTTGTCTGAGTTTGACAGTAATGTTATTCAACCGTGTTATCAATTTAGACGAATGCCTACTGAGCCAGTATATGTTTTGTTAGTTTAGAAAAACATTATTGTGGAAAAATGACACAGATCTAGTGGGGATACACGTGATCGACTATATGCAACATGCAAGGTCTGACTATAAACACACACTGGAACTTGTGGTTCTGGAGCCTTCTGAACTCGGAGGACAACAAAGGAGTTTACATTAGAGCATATACCCAATTACAGTAAGGTTGCACTACACATTTGCATGCTCTGTAACCCTTATTCCCAGATGTAATTTGTTTTTAGAGTCAATAGATATGCTGAATTGTCAGAATGCAGCTGCCATCAGAATCTCTCTCTGTGTAGGTATGTGTAGCTGGAGCACTATTACACCTTCAGCTGTATATGTGGGGATGTGGTTTCTTAATCCTTATGCTTGCAGCTTCACTTGTATTTGGATTGCTGGGTTTCACACCCAAGTAAGCTTAAGGAAAAAAGCTGTAGAACAAGCAGTTGTATGTGTCATGTTGTGGTTAATCACTACAATCTACTCTCAAAATAATATAAGTACTCTGTGATAGATTTTATTTTAATAGAAGTTTTTATTCTCTACAAATAGTAATTTAGTCTCTGTATTTAGCATGATAGTGATAGTATATGCTGATATTTCTAGAATGTTGTAAAGCTAATAGTGAACTTATATTTGCTACAGAGAATTTTCAAAGCAAGTTTCTTTAAATGACTTGGAGCACAGTGGCACACTAACAACATACTTTGTTATGACCATCTCTGGGCCTGTTTTCATCTTAAGGGAAAGAAAAGTATGGTTTCAGTGCTGTTACAGCTGCAGACTAATTTGGGTTATTGTTTGTGATGGTGTCTCTTTTTTGTTTCAGTTGGAAAGAAATGTGGCTGCAGGATTATTGGCAAAGCCTTGATCAGGGTGAGGCCCTCACTGCTATGATTCATCGCAATGAGTCTCATCAGGGAAGATTTTGGGACTACATGCATGAGATTTTTCTTAAGAGGACAAGGCAACACTGACCCATCTTTGTAAGAGCTTGATTTGAAAATTGCATTGAAAGTTGAGACTGTGAATTCTTACTCACTTCAAATGTTTGCCTTGAAAAAACAAAACCAAAAAAACTCTCACAGAGACAATTTTTTCTGGTGCACAAAGTGAGTAAGTTTCTGTTATGATTGGATTTCAGCAGTGGAAATGTTAGTAACTGCTTTGGTTTGAGTTTCAGCTCTGTGGTGTGAAGCCACTCCTGGCTTGCAGGTGTCAACATGTGGGGCAAAAGAGGAATTTAGTCTCTTTCTGCATTTGCTATACTTATATTGTATCTTACATGACTTCAGGCTCTTGCTCAAGTGCCGTAAGTTATTTCAGGGATTTTTTAAATCTTCAGAATATTAGTTGTTTTTTTAAGTATTTTATCAATCACATATTCTCTTCATTAAGATGTACTTTTAGTTGTTAGTAACAAATGGCTTTTCCAGTGAAGGAATTACAAAAGACACACCTGTGAAGAGCAATCATGCCTTATGAAATTGCTGCAATAAAGTCTCTTCTCCCCAAGTAACATGCCTCAAATACTCCTCCTTTTCAAGCTAAATAACTGAATAGCTGAATAACTATGGGGAGGTCACTTAACTCTCTGCCTAATTTTTCTCTTTTGATGACTTAGCAGATCATATATACAACGGGATGGGAGAACAAATTATTTAAGTTGCAACTTTCAACAAGGTATTTCACACCAGAAAATGTATTATCTGGTATTGTGTAGAACAAAAAAAATTCTATACTTTGGTTCTTTTAAGTTTCCATCAAATCTGAAATCTGTAATCTCAATTTACTAATTTATCTCCTTAATGCTAGCAATTCAGAGGCCTTGGATTTTTGCCTTTTGAGTATATGCAGCTCTCTGCAAGGACAAATACATTTTCACAATGGTGCCTTTCCAGTGGTCCCTGCAGTTTGGATACAAGTCTTGAAATCTTTGTATGCTGCAGTGGGTGATCAGAGCCAGATGCACTGAGATGGTTTTGTATCTCTACTGACCTTAACACACTGTGATCCTCGTCTGCAACCAGAGTTCCTGAGTGTCAACATGTGGATTGATCTTCCTTGCTGCATAGCCTGTGTTGCTTACAGGTATAAATAAATTCCACTGTTCCCTGCCATAGTGGGTATCTTTCTGAAATAACTGATCTTGCAGTGCGGGGAAACTAATTAATTCAGGGCCAAAGGTTTAACCACACAGGCAAATACAGCCACACTGCAGTGATGTCTCTGATGGTATATTGCTATTTTCTTTCTCCATTTCCCCTCCTTCAGAAGTTAACTACTGACTAAGGAGCCAGAGTTTCTGTGCTTAGGACAGTTCGTTGGTAATGAAAGTCTACAGTCTGTTGTGTAATTTGATTTTGTAAGGCAGTTTATGCATTGCTGTGGGAAGTCTGATGTCTGTCAGTAAAAGTTAGGAACAGCAGTGACTCTACATTCTCTGCCTAATTACATTACTGTCCATTGCTTAGTGCTGTATGGTTCACTTAATATCTTTTTGTTTTCCCTCAAATTCCCCTTCATAATGTTATAGATATGGGATTACAAGTATAATATCAGTATAAGTAATGATCATCTCAATGTTTGCCTCTCAGGTGACATAACAATATTGCCATTTTAAAATCAGGCAATCAATCTTGACAGCAAAGACTTCAGACCCATGACCATCACTGGATTTTTATAAATGTAGAAAATGCATGCAGTGTACATTGTTGTCACCTAATTGTTTTTAGGAGAAGAACGGTTTTTTATCTCTCTTCTCTAATAGTGAAGATCACTCATCTCAAATGATTCTTCAGCTAAAATGCATTTATCAGTTTAAGTTACTTTTTTCAGTTATTCAGGAGACATGAATACCTAAGAGAATATATCTTAGTTAATTGTTAAACTGGATTACTCAAATCAGATCAGAAATTACAGATGTGTATTCAGGATTGAAGAGGCCACTTGCTTGAGAAGTAAATTAAGATAAAACAAATTAAGGCTGCTTTAGTTCTGAATATTGACTTCTACTAAACAAATTAATGATATTTAGCTAAGTTGTTTGAATTAATGCCTTCAGTTACTCCATTTCATGTTTCTGTATAGAAAATAATTCAGTCTTCTTTAACTGCATTCTCTTAATTAGCTGTATCTCCAAACACTTTCTTATTCAAATGTTTGGTAGAATAGATAGGAGAAATTGTGATCTTGCTTTTTGTACTAAACATAAAAAGTAAGAACCAGGTGCTACCATATGCTACTTTTCCTATTTTATCCTGTAATTTAAGCAGATTTTTCAGAAGTGCAGCATTCATAATACTTTCCCAGTCTTTAATATAATGTACCTACTGTTGCCAAAATTAGACTTGCTATGTTTAATGCACTGTCCCTACAGGAGTAACAGGAGGAAGTGCCAGTGTAGCTACGTGCATCAGCACCTGCCTAGTCCTTGGTGAGATGTCCAGAGGCCCATTTTGTCTTCCTGCTCAGCAACATGAGCATGTTTCTCAGCTAACAGTAGCACTGAAGATGTGGTGGTACAAGCTGAGCAGTAGTTAGCAAAGTAGGTAAAAACTTCTTCCTTGGAGCCCTGATTTGTTCTTTAGCTATTTCACAACTGAGTATTCCTTCACCACTATATACTTCCTGTACTCAGCATATTACAATAAACAGCCAACAAGGTTATTCTGTTAGTCCTGCAGTCTTTGGTGCTTTGCTCTGTCTGTACTACTACAGAAGGCTGTTGCTTTGAGCTTGATGACTGTTGCCAAGCTGACCATTCTGATTGTCATCTGTCTTCTTAAGGAAGAAGAGTACAGATCTGAAAGTATCTTGATTACAGATATTCTATGGATTTTATCTGGTTGTCAAAGTATACCTTCCAGTTTGTAGATGAGTCACAAGTAATTTGATAGCTTTCTTTTCTGAGTTTTTAGTGTCTTCCTAGGTTTAACTGTTTTTTACAGTCTTAGAGGTGGTGAACTTCTCAAAAGATAATGAGTATTAGCTACCACTCTTTGCTGTGAAGCTCACCCAAGCCTTGTTTCCGTTGTATCTGCAGTGGTTTTTTCTGTAGTCATAGATCATACTAGCTTTCATCTCCTCTATGTCATAATACTTCCATGATTTATAAACCATGTCTCTGTGGCCTCTATTAATATAGTAAATTTATTTCACTTTTTATGTATGGTGTGCAAGAATTAAGGCTGGAATATTTATTCAGTGCGTGGTATGAATACTTTGTGTAGCTGCCAGGCAAACTCTGCAGGGACAGGAGAGGTGGGAATCCTGCCCAGCTGGATAAAGGGTTGTGGTTGCAGTTGTGTTCGATGCTGCTGACTGACCTTCACAGCATCTACTGCTCTGCACAGCAAGGACTACAAAATGTTGAGTAAACATTTTAGCATGGTTTTGCTTTCATTCTCTCCTGTTATTTGGAGGAGACAGGAGGAGAAGCTGGGTCTCATACCCTTGAAGAGTTTGCAATTAATTTACTTAATAATGCATTTGAAAGGATTGCTGTTGCTATACTGGCAATGTGTACTGCCAGTCGTAGCCAAAGTGAATTCAATTTATCCTCCTAGCTGTCTTTCTACTAATGCAAGCATCTGAATGCAGACAAGGAAGAAGGTCACTACAGCATTATTATTTTGGAAAAAGTTTCCTGATTTCTGTTCTCAGCTAACTGGATTTCTCACTGCTTTAAATCCAAACCAGCAAGATGGTGGCTGAATGTCATCACTCGTATTCTGACTACTGGAAGGCTACGTGATACTCAGACTGAACATGATAGATTCAACATCTATCTTAATAATGTTCTTACAGTGCAGGTACCCATATTCATAAAAACTGAGACTAATAAGGCAAGGTACCAAATATTGAAGATATTTATCTGTGTAAACGTTTTGACAGGATCCTGCAGACTAGGGTGAGTGGCTGTACTGCTTGTCGTGCATTGTGCCTGTTTACTGTGTGACTAGAGGGAGGCTTTCAAAGCTGTCAGGATAGCTTTGTTCACTAGCATTACTGTTCTAAAAATAAATATCTCCTCATTACTGCTCACATGAAACACCAGTAGACTCTATTAATGCTGTGTCTCAGAATTGACTTGACAAGCTGGAATAAATTTATGCCCTCTCAGAGGTGAGAGATGAGAAACAAATAACTGACTGAAGGTTAAAAATCTAGCAGTCCAAGGCATTGCATTGATTGGGCAAGCCCCAGTTCTCATTCTTCTGCCAAAACTCTGATACCACATGTTGCCTATTTTTTCAGTTAGAAGATGATTATTTTATTTACTGAACTAGTAGTCTGCATTTTCTGTCCTTTAGCAAGGACTGCAATTTGTAGGAAGCATATAACCTCACTGAAGAACATTGATTTGATACCTAACATTATGATTTCTGGAACTCAAAAGGAGTTCAGAAAGAGTTGCCTTTTCTTATTTCAGGCACTGTAGTAATTTTCAAACTGAAAGATCTCTGGTTCCTCTCTAATGGTGAGTAGAATGAGATCCAAGCAACAGAGGATGTATAGGTTTAGAGGGGAAGGAGAATGAGCTGCTTTCTCTGGAAATGATCTGCAAAGTGAATCAGCAGAAATGCTCCTCTTGCATTTTGACTGAGGGTCGCTTTAAGTGGTGTGGAAGAACAACTTCTAAAGGACTGGGGACAGGATAAACTGAATTGAAACTCAGCCATCAGAGTTTTAACAGGCATTGCAGTGTTAGACAAGCAGCCATCTGCCTCGTTTGCTGTCCTGCCATACACACTCTTCAACAATAGTCCCAAGAGAGCCACTCCCTTAATCATTAGTTGTCATCTGTTTGGTTGTATTTAATTAAGGTTATTGATGGATCTCCAGGCACCTTCTGGGAAGTTGTATTAATTGGAAACCTACAGGGTGCCAGGTTCCTTCATTCTGCATAGAGACCAGAGACCTCTACTGACAGGCTGAAATTAATCAGAGATAAAATCCTTTTAGTGATACAACCAACTGAGCCAAAACCTACATCAGGCTTTAACTGTACCTCTCTTTATGGTCCATTGTCTCAGAGCTGGCAGTGAGAGATATATGGCCCTGCAGAGGGATTAGGAAGGACAGAGAGGAGTGGAGCAACAGGATTTGTTCCAGAACTCTGACACCACTAGCATCTTAATTTGTGTGCTGTTAAACACATTTTTTACTGCAGAAAAGACCCATTTAATGTGCAAGTGTCTCAGCTAGAGATGGTTCTGGGATCTTGGAACGGATCAGAGCAGATGATAATACTTTGCGGCATCTCTGAGCAAATTAGCAGGCACAGGTAATTTGCAGTGGAAATGGGCTGAGTTTCCTAGATCCTGGGAATTAGGGATGGCAGCTCAGAACTACTCAGGCTGACAGGAAAATGCAGGGCAGCTGATCTGATTGAGATAGCACAGGATAAGGGTTGTTGTGGGAGTTGGGGTGGGGTGTGACACATCCAGTTGTGTGCATGAATACATTGTGCTGGTAAGAGCATTAAGTACTAATACAGTCCAAACACAACAGCTCAGCAGGCAGGAGTTGAGTTGGGTCTGAGCCAACTGGAATCTTAGCAAACTGGTTGCTTTCATTGCTAAAGTTAAAGTGGAAGTGCTTTAAATTTTAAGGCATCTCTAATTAAATTGGTTTAAGGAGGTCAGGGTGAGACGGATGAGAATGAAGTGTTGTTGGTGAGGGCATTACGAACTGGTATGGTGCATTCAGCATAAGTTTGTGTGAATATAGTGGAATTTACCTGAAAGCTGGATCCAGGCAGCAGTCAAAAATACATGGATATCAACTCTATTCTTTTTTGACAATACAACAGATTTCTTAGCCTCATCCTTTAACTGATTTTTAGGTAGTTGTCTGGATGTTTTACATAACTACACCAGAAAGTGAAGAATACATGGTGTAATTTCTCATCTCTTAAAGAGGTATTTAAGAAAGCAGTCTCATTTTAAAGGATGTATTTTATCACAGCATTGCTAGCACTGTTTTTAATTGTGACATAGCATTCACTGTAGCATCATATGTGGCCCTTATTCAGTTGTGATATATATTCTTTTCAAGTCTAATATCAATAGTTTAAACTCTATGGTTCATTTTGGTTTTGACCAGCTGAAACTCAAGCTAGGATTCAGCTTTAAATGCGTCAATACAAGAAAAAAAGTTGTAAATGCTAATTAGTGAAAGCTAAAGCTTTACATGGTTATTATAGTTGTGCATTCAAGATTACCAGTAAAACATCTCTGGGGTTCACTGTTGAGGGAATTTAGTTTCTGAGTGTCCCTATAAAGTCAGCACTTCTGTCCCATCCATTAGTGACTTGGTGCTATGAGCTGTACAAAATACAGCCTGTAGAGACATTTGGCTATTCAATAACACGGCCTTTTTGTAGTTCTGCATTCTTCCTTAAAATTAATGTGTAATATTAAAAAATACTGTTTAATAATAAAACTGTGTCCTGCTACAGACATCTCTCATGGTGTGTGCAGACACCATCATGTACCTTATTCTGTCTGCTTGGGAAACTCTTATGCTGAGGCTCCAATACAGGACTGATGCCAAAAAATTAGTTCTAGTGCAGACAGCAGTAACTTACAGGAAGCTATTACAATTATCCTTGTGTAGTTTGCCTTTCTCTTTCTTAGCCTCCCTCCTCCTCCACCTCATTTTTCTTGGAATTACTTAAATGAGAGATGAGCTTTTGAAGGTGAAAGGACTTGAAGGTGCTGCCACCATTAACTAATGTAATTTGGAAAAAGGGAGGCTGATTTACAGGGAGTGCAGTTCAGCTTTTACATCGTAGTACGTTTGTCTTTCCTTGTTACTGTTTTTTGCCCATCTAGTTAGACATTGCAGGAGGCAAATGCAGCAGGGGAAGGTGGGTAGCTAGCAGTAAGGTAGGAAGGGTAGCTAGAAGAGGCAAAACCAAGAACAGCTGAACCTCACATGAATGGGAATACTGAAATGTATTTCATGTCCCTGTCTGGGATTTTCAAAGTCTCTGTTGTTCAGAGTTGTACAGTGCAAGCCCTCTGGCCTAATTTGAAGGTGCCAGCCAAAAACAGGCTTCCTTCTCTACTGACAGTCAAGCTCAAAGCTTGTTTACTGTCTTTTCAGAAAAAAATGTGAATAGAGAAACATCCTTCTTACCAAAATATTTCAGAATTTCCAGAAAGTATTTGAATTTGGACCTTAAGAGATGAAAATGCACTACCAAAAGAGAGCTGAAAATAATATCTTTTGTTTACTTAAACATGTCTTCTCATACTCTTTAATTTGGACTCTAAGTATATAGTATTTTAAAAGTAACACAAAAATAATTATAGAATTGGATATACCAGGATTTATTGTCAGCAGATGCAGTAAATTCTAGTAACCATATTGAGAATAGTGTGGTATAGGTCTGGTGATGTTTAGCTCAAGTTAACAGAATTTCTGAAGTCTCTAACTTCTTGACTAGGCAAAGGGGTGTGCTTTGGGTTTTATGTCTAAGAGGTTGAATATTTTTTAATCCCAATCAGTCTCCTGTGGAAAAAAAAAATTGCAAAGAAAAGAATTTTTGATTTAGTCTTCTGAATATGGTCAGGGGACTCCAGCTGTTCTGATACAGTGGTAAAATGGCATATTCAGGAACTGCTCCATGACAAGGATCTGAGTGCTTTGTGTCCCCAGTGTTCAGTGTCTAACTCCTCAGTTTTGTGCATCTACCTTGTCCCTCCTGCTGTGCAGAGACCTGTATCCCAGCCCTTGGAATGCTCCTGTGCCTTCTGTACTGCCTGCCTTTTTTGCCTGGGGACATAAGCACTCCTGAACCTGCCAGATCAGCTGAGGACTTCCAGGACCTAGGGAAGAAACTTCTGGGAACAAGAGTTTTTCCACCACTGAGTATAAGGCTGTGGGAACGATGCTACCATTTTGGAAGCAGCAGTTTCAGTATCTTCTTGGAAGGAACAGTAGGAACAATGCAGGGGAGATCCAGCTGTAATGGAAGGAAATGAAGGGCTGAGAGCTAAGTGATGAGAGTTTGAAGCAACAAGAGTTTCCATACAATTGCAGAAGAACCTGAGAAGAGACAAGTGAGAGGGACCTCATCCATGCCTATAGTATCTGAGGGGAGAGCGTCAAAGGGATGGAGGGATCCAGGTTCTTCTCTGTGGTGCTGCACAACAGGACAAGAGACAATGGGGAGAAACTGGAAGTTCCATCTGAACATGAATAACAGCTTTACTGTGCAGGCGACCGAGCACTGGAACAGCCCAGAGAGGCTGTGGAGCCTCCTTTGTTGGAGATACTCCCTAAGTGTCTGGATGCAATCCTGCAATGTGCTCTGGGACCCTGCTTGAGCACAGATGACCCACTGTGATCCTTTCCAGCCTCGCCCATTCTGCGATTCCTCTAATTCTATCTGAATCACTTGAGACAATCATGAAGAGCGTTTGCTCCTCCCTTGGCTGTTCTTGCCGTCGGTAGGGGACCGTCGGGCAGCGCCGCACTGGTTCCGCCCAGGCGGAAGCTGAGGGGCGTTACTCGCTTCCCCTGGCCTTCCTTGGCCGGGCGGGCAGCAGGGGCGGGGCAGGCGGCTGCGCCCTCAGGCGCCCGCGCGGACATGGCGGCGCCCGCCTACCCCGCCTGGGTGACACGGTGGGTGTCGGGGCAGTGGCGGAGCAAGAAGCGGCCCCCGACGCTCCGCCCGCCCCGGACACTGGCGCTGGCCGACAAGGTGGCGAACCGCCGGGAGCAGTCGACAGGTGAGCTGCCGGCGGCGGGGAGCGGTGGCGAGGGGCAGGCCGGGCCCGGGAGGGGCCGCGCTGCTGGCAGAGCTCGGCGGCGCCTTGTGCTCCGCAGGGCGAGGGGGCAGCGCCGGTCTGGGCCATGGAATTCGCGCGTGGTTTCTGTGGGAAGGATCGCTTCCTCACTCTGCAGCCCTAAGTTTGTGTCGTATGTGAGTCAGACACGCTGCATCGTAGCATTGCCTTTACCTTAAAAATTCTGTCAGATGCTGGGTGGCTGTGGCGATTTGCTTTCTGTTAGCAACAACTTCTCTGTCCAAAGCAAAGCTGGGATTTTCTTATGCATTTTCTCAATCTCTTTGGAGATTTATGCACTGTGGAGGTTGTTAGCATGAGATCCCAAACACCTGAGATTTCTGCTTATGTCTTTCCCTTCTAGAGGCAACGTGCATTACGGAGATGTCAGTAATGATGGCCTGCTGGAAACAGAATGACTTCAGCGACACGCCTTGTGCCGAGGAGATCAGGATGTTCTATGACTGCGTGGCAAAGGCAGAAGTAATTAAGGCCTCTTTTATCTTCTTAAAGGCTAGTAGTAGGGAAGGAGGAAGCCTCCAGTCATTTTTTGTGTGCGAGTAAGAATAATGTTCTCTGAAGAATTTGATTGTGACCCATTTGAGCAACTAAGAGCAATGAAACTGGTGAAGGATCTAGAGGTTCCTACACGGAGGGGCTGACATAGCTGGGGTTGTTTAGTCTGGAAAAGAGGCAATAAGGGAGACCTTATTGCTCTTTACAATTACCAGGTGGGGGTCAGCCTCTTCTCCCAGGCAACTGGTGATGTGACAAGAGGACACAGCCTTGAGCTGTGCCAGGAGAGGTTCAGGCTGGACATCCGGAAGAATTTTTTCACTGAAAGGGCGCTGAAGCATTGGAACAGGCTGGCCTGGGAGGTGGTGGTCACCATTCCTAGAGGCATTCAGTAAATGACTGGATGTGTCACTGCCATGGTCTAGTTGGCAAGGTGGTTATTGGTCAAAGGTTGGACTCAAGATCTTGGAGGTCTTTTCCAACTTGATTCTGACTTTGAAGGCCAGACATTTTTGAAAAATAAATTTCATATTGCTTGAAAATTAGAGGTTTCTGATATTATATATTAACATAATAATACTATATTATAAGCTTGAAATAAAATAATTCTCAAAATAGACTAAAGGTAAGTATATGTACTAAACTTGTCCTTAAACTGGTTTCAGGTTTCCCTTTTCTTTCAGTAGCAGGGTCATAATTTAAAAAGTTATTTACTGTTGCTCTTTGACAGCATAAGTAAAAAATTATCCACAGTTTATTTGGTAGATGACAAAGAATCAAACAAAGATGAAAAATAACAGAAAGTAAAAAGAAAAAATCTGGGTTGTTACCAGAAGTTTATGTCATTGTTAACTAAGAATATGGAAGGATATAATCTTCACAAGATGTCAGTCATTAATTGCATCATTTAAAGGTCATCAGCTTGTGATTATTGAGCCAAGTGCTATGGTAAGTGTTCCTTAAAGAAACAGCATTTTTCTAAAAGAAACATCCCTGTACAGTTAATAATACTCCCTGGGAATGAGCATCAACTCTGCAAGTAAACAGCGGTAAATATTTTGAGGAGTTTTGTTCTCTTTCAGAAAGAGCGCAAGAATCAAAATGAGGACATCCTGTCATCCAAGGGAAATTTGCCTTCAAGCAAAGTGAACAAGCTCCTGAAGAGGTTTCCTCAGATCACACGTTACGTATAATGTACGTTATGAAAGAGACTGTGGACAAGCAATTAAAGTTGGGGTCTTGGTCAAAAAAAGGAAAGTCAAGTTCAGTGATCTTTTGATGTCAAGTGGTGTGTGGATCTTGACCCTGCTTTTGATTCCAGGGCAAAAACCACCCATCTTGAGTATCAGCTGATTTTGTTCATGAGACTCTTGGGTCTTGCAGTGTTAGGATTTCTGCAGTGTGTTGTTCAGCTTGCCTCCCCAAGTCCTGTTAAATAAAACCTTCTAGGCATTCATGTAAATGCATTTCCTAACAGGGCATGACTTCTCCACGTGCAAGCATCTTGCCCAGCTCTGGAGCTGCTGTCAAAAAGTGTTTGGGCTCAAACACTGAGCCAAGTTAAAATGAGTAATGATGGTATGATGGTTCATACTCTTACATGAGTGTATTCACAATCTGGTACCTCTTGAATTTTTTTTTTAAATTTCCACTGCTGTAAAATTTAGAAAAAAATCTCCAGCAAAATACCTTGTTCATACATAATACATTGGTAAGTATCAAATATAACTTTTAACACGGAAGCTTGTGATTTAGCTTGTGATTTGCAGGTGGGACTTATGGTGCCACATAAGTTTGATTATTTTGTCTGTACTGTAAATAAAGCAAGACTGGTGTTTGACTTGGGCAACTCATAATCTGCAACAAAATGTTTCTTTTTTTTTTGGTAAAAAACACCCAAAAACTAAAAGGGGGAGAGAAAGTTAAAGCATGGGTTGATAATTGAAATAATTTAATTCATTTATGGTTTTGATTGTGGGGAGAAAGGGGTGGTTTCCACTGCAGTACCACAAAACTACAGGCCGGATCTTGGGAACAGTACCTGATTGGTGGGAAAAATGCAGTGTCTTGGAGAACTGATGTTAGAGCCATTTATATCAGTAATTCTTTTGGGTGTGTAGAAGAAGCAGAATAAGAGGAGAGTCAGGCACTCACATACTGTGTGATTACCCATGGGTGGCTGTAGAGTTTGCTGGAGCTCAGTCCTCTGGAGCCCCAGGCTGGTACCTGTTCATCACAAAAATTTTAGTCAGGTGAAGGCTTTCAAGTTACTGAAGCAACATTCTCTTAGCAGTTAATTACAGTGGCTCATTAGTGGATAATCCAGGGTAGCTTATTCTTTTGTTGGTATTATGACATAATTGGGTCTTTTAGAGGACTTGGGGTCACCAAGAACACAATATCCACATCTGAGCTCAGGAAAACACTTTGTTTCTGTGGAGTTTCGCATTTTCTGTCCAGAAGACATTGTGAAAAATAATGCTACTTGCTGTTCCTTCATTTCTGGAGGATATAAAATAGATTGGGAGTGAGGAACTGATTCACCTCTGTTGATGATGATTTTTCTTCATATTAAAACTTGGAATAAAAGTGTTATGCATCTCTTAAGATAGCACCTGTGCTGAATATACCAAATTCTAGTGTCTGTGAGGAGCAGTCTTACATAAGAAGCTGTAACAGAGACACTTAATACCTTTTTCTATTTTTACTTTTGAAATTTTGCATAGCTCCCACTAATCTGAACAGCTCTTTTTGCATTACACTGCTTCACGGTGAGCTTCACAAATTCAGTTGTTTGGGGTTTTGTCTAACCTTTTATGTGTCTACTATAAGCTTGAAATTACTATGCTAAGGTTTTCCAATCCTTTTATTTATTGAGAGGAAGGAAGCAATATTTTTCAGGTGCATCCAGGTTTTACAGTGTTTCCTTTAAAAGTACTTGAGCAATTCTTTTGCTTTTGTTGTAAGCAAAAACCCTCCAGTTCCTGATTGTCCTTGGCAATTTCAGCTGCTGGCCATTTTCCTGCATCTCACCATTAAGCTTGATTAGTGTTTAAATGCATTCTGTGACATGCTGGTATTGAGGATCACTCCACTAATAGTTCATGTGTGTACCCACAGGGAACAACACTGTTCTTTCTGACTTGGGGTTTGTACCACCCCGTGATGCTTTTGCTGGAGGGTAAGGAAAACTGTTCTGGTGTGGAACACACTGGTTAAGAACATTGCTGCAGAGACCTGTATGTGATTGCATGGTGAGGAAAGAATTAAACAAAAGCTGACTAGCTGTTCTACCCTCCTAAGTCGGATTTACAGGATTTAAGCAGATCTGCTGGAATTCCTTGATCTTATTCCTGTACCTTATAGCTTGACTATTATACCAGCTCTGGCTGTGATTGCTGTTAACTACTCCTTTTAGGCTTTCATTGTGGAGTTAGCATTAATATTTCAGCTGGTCCTGATGAATAGTTGTCCTACCAGTTCAAGAGAAATAGGTTGAATTCCAGAGAGCCAGGGACATTTTAGAAGATGGCATTTCTTGTTCAGAAGGGTCAATACAGAAAAATCTGGCAAAGTCAAGACAGACTCTGTAGGGAATCATAGACTTCCTGTAATAGAAATATGCATATATGGGGTGAGAAGGACTACTGTTAAATAGTAGATTTAGATATTTACAACTAATTCAAATTTGCCTATACAAGAAAGTTCAGGATGTTTTACCTTACCTGTAGATACATTGCTGATCTAAACTGCTGTAGTTATATTGGTATAATTCCCTTTTAGGTTTTCCTCTCCACCTTGGAGAGTAGTCATGAGAAGCTTTTGAGAATCTGAGATCCACCTCTCTCAAGGAATGTCATTACATGTGTGAGAAAAACTAGGGGAGTCTTGGTAAGAAGGAAATAGTTCCAAAGCAGTACCTGCCAGAGAGGAGACAACTGCAAAACCCACTGTATCTTCCCAGTTCATTATTCTTCCAGAAAGTGAATACAGGCTTGGACTTCTGTTCCTTTTGGTGTACTGGTCTGTGTTTCCTTAAAAATTACTTTATCTATTAAATCACTTTTTTTAGGAAGACTTTGCCTTGACAGAGAAGCAACTTAGAAGGTACCATGAGAGAAATCCAGTGCAGGCTTCTGCTAGAGGTGTTAAACCCTGTGTGTCAGAGGCCTGAATGGGGAGGGTCTCATGGGATGGAGTTCTGAATGAGCATCAGCAACGTCTAGTAAGGAGCTAGTTTCTCTGAATGCTAATAGAATTTCTGTTCCTATTTCCAGTATGTCCTTTCCTTGTGTGTTCAGTGGAGGAAGTGGTTCTAACACAGTCCCATATCTTTATTTTGTTCTGCTCCTTTGTGCTACTGCTGCCTGAGAGTTATAGTGTGATGCAGCATCTAAGCTATTTCCATCCCCTGCTGCCCTGATCGTCTGCCTCCCTGACTATGAGGATATAGGAGATTTGCTCCTAATTAACTGAGTGTAATTCTTGGCCAAGTCCACTCCAGAAACAGCTTCTTTTTACCACTTAGCGACTCCTAAGGATCCAGCATGGAGGGAAATTTCCTTGCCTTTGATGAGTGACTGAGGATGAGGCAACACAAAACTGTCACATGAAGTGAGTAATGGGCAAAAATGAAGGAAGAAAAAAAAGAGGCTTTTTGTCAAGTCAGTAGATTTTTAGCAGCCTGTTCCTTGTTTTTATGCTGAAGGTGTTTTGGAAGTGCTACTCAGCAGACTTGGCCAGAAGTGAGCTCATTTCTAAAGGTGACCTTCATGTTTCATGCTATAGAACACCACGAGTTCATTGCTCCAAAATCAGAATATAAGAAATGCCCATTAGACTGAGCAGAGAAGCAGCACCAGGAATGTGTAAAAAAGTATTTCCAAGACTGAACAGCTTCAATTGAACAAATTGCCTTCTTAGATTTAGTAGTATTTACAGCTTGTAGCCTTGAAACCTAATTCCTATGGAGGACCAGCAAGTTGAAAACACTAAAAACCCCCATGGGATGGGATTGTTCATGGTAATACAATAATGATTAACCCTCTGGAAAGCATCCTAGCCAATTGAGGAAAAATACAGCCCAAGGTCAAGGAGACGCTCGATGGCAAAGTTCTGTGGTGGCAATACCCATGATGGCAAGATACAGGGCTGAAAATTGGGAGCACCCTGGAGAGGGCTGTGCCACCTGTGGATTTTCCGGGGGAGATCTGGAAGCTGCTTAATGTAGAGTTTTCTGGGTCCTATTTACCTGGGTTCAAATCTGAGGAGAGCTGACCTCGGGAAGCTGCAAGCTGCTAATCGAGGAGGCAGCGGTGGGGGGGATAAAGTCCAGATTCCTTCCAAGAAGTCTAATCTCTGGCAAATGTACGCGCACACGCCGTTGCCTTTCCCAGTTGTTGCTGGGGGCTTTGCAATAGGAGCCCCAGCTCCTTGCCGTGCTGCAGCCTCTGTGCCTTGGGAAGAGGGGGAAAGGCAGCTGGGGAAGGAGCATTGCAGGAGAGGAGACGAGCGGGCGGCTGGCCCCGCCGCTGGGCAGAAGGGGCGGGAGGCGGAGGCTGGCGCTGGGAGCAGCGCGTACCTGGAGCACGGGAGGCTGCGGAGAGGAGGGGACAGCGGGGTGAGGAGAGGGCTAAGGCACAGCCCTTACCGCTTGTGCTCGCCTCTGCTCGTCTTCCAATGTGCTAGAGAAATTCGTTCCGTTCCCTTATTTCTCTCCTCTCTTCTTCCCCTTTCTGAAGAGAAGAATTCCTGAGAAGAGATGGGGAGAGGAACGGGAAAGTGAAATTCTAAGATGCTGCGGGGAACTTTGATCCCTTTCCTCACATCCCTTTCCCTGCGTGGAAATGGAAAAGGCACCCCGCTCCCTCGGGTGCGGAGCGGCTAGCGTGGGAAAGCAGACCCTGGCAGCTGAACGAGAATGTGATGCTTGAAGAACCTTCTGCTCACTTTGTACGAGGGATGGAAATCTCCAAAATACTCGGGCTCCTGGTAGAGCTCTCAAGTCTGCTATCCTGTCTCAGATGTGTGGAGGTAAGAAAAGGTTCTTTTTCTATCTGCTTATAAGTCACATGGCTCTTATAATATCCTCACTGTAAGTGGATCTTGTTATTACTTGACTATGTTTTCTAGAGCATTTAGGCAGATGTGGTCTCTGGGAAGGACTGGGGGCTTGGGGAGAGATTTGTTTCATTATGCATATAACTTCAGAAAAAGAAATAAACCAGGAAAGCAGAATACACAAGGGCTTGCAGATGCTTTGGCTTGGGTTTCCAGTGTTTCTCAGGCACTGCGGTGACCTTGGCAGGAAAGATCCTTTATTTCTGTTCTTTGCTGATTGTCTCTCTTGCTTGTGGACAGATGATTTATAGACCTGGGACAATGCCTGCAGCATAGGCTGTTTGCACTGAATTTAATTGGTGGCGATGGTCAGCGTTGGGGTATTTTGGAAGTTGCTACAGAAACTGACAGGAACTAATTTTTCATTAGAAGGGAAGTTTATTACTTGGACTGAAGTACTTTTGTTTATGGTCCCCAGGTTCAGTCTCTCATATATATCCTGTTATTAGTCTGACCCATCCTTGTATCGCTGGCAGGCTTACATGTGTCTGCAGGTGTGCACTAAAAGCTAGGGATTGAGGGACCTGGATTGTGGTGCAGTCACAAAAGTACAGCTTAGATCACTTTCTACTCTCTGCAAATAGCTTTGAGATCCTCGGGTAAGTCCTTCAGTGTTGTTGGTCCAGAAACCCTTATGTGGGCTTGCAACAGCCTGATACATGCAGATAGATGAATTTTTTGCCTGAAAAGGGTTTATCTGTGTTTCTCTTTGTGCATATGAACCTGAGATCTGATTTGCTACTACTGAACTGTGTCAGGAATTCATCTTCCATATGCAGTATCCATTCTGACTTCTGGGAGGTGATGCTGGAGCTTGGCCGTGGTTGTCAGCACCTTCTGGATCATATTCATAAGCTTGATTTGAAAATGATATCTGACATGAATAGGTGTTGTTCTTGTCAGGCTTCTGTCGGAATTACCTCTGCTAATTCCAGAAGTGGATTTGGTTTAATTCCAAATTTAACTGTTCCTATTTTCCAGGAAGAGGTGAAACTGAGAGAGGCAAAATTACTGCATTTTGAAGAAAACCACAACCATTACCAATAGCTAGTATCCTTTAGTCACACATCTCTGCTCTGTGAATTACAACTCTTTCTTCATATAAAAGTATTAGAAATGTTCATTTAGAATGTTTAGAAACTAATTAAACTACAAGGAGCTAGCAGAAGCATGTACAGTTTCTTCTTTTCACTCTGAGTCTGTGAAGGTCTTGCACTTGCTTGCCCATCATGTAGTGATGTTGAGTGGAAATCTGTCTATAGTCACGTTACAACCACAAAAAAACCCTGCCTATAAGAGGAAATGCAGTTTTGGGGCCAGACAGGATGCTAGAATTCTGAGGATTTTGTTTCATATTTTTTGGTCTTGGCTATTTAACCTCATTTCGATAACAACACCATAGGCCATATCATATTTTCAAGTATTAAAACCAGAATCCTCAAAAGGCCTTGGATTTTCTTCCTTGGATGTTTCCCACTTTATACATGGATGTTTATTACCATTTTATCAGGTATCCTGAGGGCATCATCCTGTCACTCAAGAAGATAAATATCTGCTACTATAGCTGTAGATGACTTGCCCTATAAACAGTGAGAGAATGAGTACATATTATTTTTCTTACTGATAATAATGATTTTCTTCTAGATTTCCTTTCCATAGGCATATCACTCAGACTTCTCTGTTGGAAAAAAAAAAAACCCAAAACCAAGCAGAGCCCAGTAATGCAGTGCTTAGATCAAGGGTAAATCTCTGCAGGCCAGTAGCTATTAATTTTGTTTTAAGTGGACAGAGCTATGGTTGTATTTGAAGAGGAGCATTGGGGAGACCAGGGAAGAGGATGGTTACTAGGGTGTGTTTGCCTGAAGCTGAGCTTCTTTTAGGACATGCCCATGTTTATTTCATTGGATAATCATCTCTCTGCTTTTGCTCTGTTTCTTTTTCCAGGCTTTCCTGGGATCCAAGCCCAACCAAAACCATTTGCAGAGTGCAGGTAAGAACAAGAAGTTATTAATTCAGTCACTGGGCAGGCTCTTTCCTCCAGTGGTGATCTGAGACCATAGGCACAATAAACCACTGCTACCTGGCCTTCTTCCTTTCTTTTCATCACTTCTTCAATCTTTTCTCTTGTCCCAATGCCTGTTTATCTCCTTCACCAACATGGCCAGACTACCTCTGTTCCTTCATGTTGAATGCTCTTGCAGCTCCCTGCTCCTCCCACATGTTCTTTTCCTTTAATCTCTTTCTTTGCCTTGGTTTTTTTGCATGCTTACCTTTTCTCTGCTCTAATAACTACTGAATTCTCAGACACCCTCTCTGAGGGTCCCAATTGATGCCACACATATGATTTGTTTTCCAGGCATTGACTTCCAACTGCTTCTCATTTTTGTACCTTGCATTTGACCTTCAGTTTTCACTTACCCCCTCTGGGCCTGACAGTGGCTAGAAGGCAAATGACATGATGCAAAGTTACTTTGTACCCCTGCTCTTTGCCCCAGGTGCAGAAGGGTTTTCTGAAAGTGTTGGCTTCTTTCTGTTTACTTAGTGAATAGAGCTGTACATGTCCCTTTCTCAGTCTACTCTTCCCATGTTATGGACTCTATAAAGCCCACAAAACTGGGTGTTTTTTTTCCCACTTCATTATTTCAGTGCCATGAATGGAGAGTTTTCTCCTTTGTTAAGGACCATAATAAATTAATTATTGGGTATTTCTACACTGGATATTTCACATGGGCACTGAGACACTGGCACCTGCACTTCCCACAAAATAAATTCCCTTTCTCTTCCAATATATTAGCCAAGCTCAGATAAGCCAGGTGATCTGCTCATGTGTATAGAGAAGGTACATGCAATGAAATACAGTGTCATTTCCCACCTTCCTGCTTTGTACAGTTCTGCTCCCAAGTGAGTACATGTATTGCATGTACAGTAATGGGAATCAGTTCAAATTATCATGTTTGGGCCCTAAGTTAACACTCTTCAAAGGTCTGTCTGGGCAGTTCATTGCTTCAGATCAATTTGTGGTTTAGACAGTGAGTATTATGAATATTCTTTGAGCAACACCTTGAAGAGCGATAAGAGTTTGCATCAAGCAAGCAGCAGCTGAGACTGCAGACACCAGGGGTGTTTCTCATAACCAGCCGGCGTGTCCCATGTTGTCTGAGCTTTGGTGTGTGATGCCTTAGGTGATGCTAACCCTCCCTTCCTGTGCCCAGCGCCCAGCGTGTGTGCCGTGGGCCCTCTCGGGTACTACAACGGCTCACTGGCGGTCACCGAGGCCGGGGCACGGTGTCTCAGCTGGGCAGAGTTCCCTGATTACGTTCAGCAGTACCCAGACCGTGGCCTGGGGGACCACAACTTCTGCAGGAACCCAGACGGGGGAACGACGCCCTGGTGCTTCTACAGGCTTGTGTCAGGGGCCATCGGCTGGGCCAACTGCGACTGTAACCAAGGTAAGGGCTGTGCTGCCTCAGGGCTCAAGCCAGCACTGTGTGCTGCACAGACTTGCACGTGGCAGGTGGAACACCCTGTGAAAAAAGCACCGTACAAGGACTGTTCCGAATTGTTGAAATAATTAATAGTAGAGGCTAGCCTGTGTGGGAGAAGAACGTCTGTATATAGTAGGGGGTGGATTTAAGCTGCTGTAGCTGTAATGCCTTGTATAGATGTTTTATTCTCATACAAGGAGACTTCTTTTTTTCTACTGCTAACTTATGCCGCTTTGGAAACAGTTTCAGTTATGTAGAAAACAACCCACTTCTGCTCCTTTAGGGTCCACATCAGAGCATTCCTCTGATATAAGCGTAGCAGTTCAAATATAAACTTCTTTAATATAAAATCTTCTGTGGCAAGGCAGGTCATAGGCTTGTGTTAAATTTCCTCAGTGCTGGCAGAAGGACTACTGCTTACTTTGAGGCAAGCAAGGAGCTGAGCTTTCTCAATGGATTGGCTACTGTGCAGCATTCTTGAAAATGTCCTGTTTTCTGACCTTCCTTGCTTTTCCTGCATTTTGCAGAACAGTTGAAACACCAGTTTAATAAATGAATTGACAGTCTTTTTTTTCCCTTGCTAGTTGATGTGCTTTCAAAGATGGCTTCATTAAAGGGAAGAATATAAGTGTAGTGGGGCTGTGTGCCTGCAGTGAGGTGCTGCAGACAGGTGTGTCCTTCTGCAAGTACGTAACTGAGCGAGGAGATATGCTTTCTAAACAGTGGTAAAATTTTTAGTGGGGTGGGAATTGAAAGGGTATTTACATTGGCACTTCCTTTTCTTAGAGAATTTAAAGAGGATTCATCTGTTGTTATTGAACATCTCACTGTAGCAACAGAGTCATGCAGGTGAAGTGCATGACGGAAATAGTTGATGAAGTGGTTGATGGAAATAGATCAGTGGAGTTTCAGAAGTAATTAGATGGATTTTCACACACCCTTTGAAGACAGCATGTAAAATCATCCCCATTCCACGGAAGGAGAATCCAAGAGCTTTTGCAGACACCAAATTTCCTGCTGGTGTTACCATGGATTTGAAAAGACCATAAAAACAACCATCCTCCCAATCAGCCATTGCTGGAACTGGGAAGGTGCCACATCCCACACTCTTTCATGCACATCGCTTTAGTGCCAGCACAGGTACAA